ACGCTTTTGGCTCTAAAAACCGTGGCCTACTATATATAACGGAAAGCTAGTATACGAATAATGTATGGTATAAATGACTAATGTTAACAACTCTAACTAACTAAAATAACAAAACCCGCTATTTCAACAATCTATACAGACCATAATAACTAACTATAATATGCACTCTTATATAGTATGCCTAGTACCCAATGTCATATGATATTTCTAGTATATTACCTAGTTTCTACCATATATTCGGACTTAGTATTCGATAATATATTCAAAAACCGCCATTACACTTTTGCGCTTTTACGCTTTTCGCGCTTTCCTACGACTATAAGAGTACCCACTTCCCTTATTTCTTAATTCTACTTTTTAGCAAGTCTAATTCTAGAGTCCCGAGGCATATTTTAGGCTATAAACTAGTAGATAGCGACTATAGGCCTTCGTTCAAATAGCTCTTCTTCGAAAAGAAAATCAATACGTTAAAAACAAGGTCGTCGCAAATCTAATTTGATAAAAAAGGCACGCGAATATAGTAAGTTATATAAAGCAGACGTCTATATCGGGATTCGCCTTCGGGAAACGGGCTAAGTGTTTATCCTATCGGCGGATATCTCGGGATTTTAGGGATTTCTTAGGTTATAACTAGTTATATAGGCAGAAACTAGTTATATAACTAAGGCTAATTTTTCTAGGCCTCCTATTATCCGACCCTATATTTAATTATAAATCAAGACCTAGAGAAGGCTAAAGAAGGCATTATAAGGAAACCAAGCGAGGCAAATCTTCTAGCTTAAAAATTATAACTAAAATTAATTCCTCGGGTATATCTTGCTAAGACCGGGGGCATATGATCTCATTTCAATATCCTAGGATACGGAAGTGATAAATTAAGAGGAAGTGATAAATTAAGAGGAAGTGATAAATTGAGAGGAAGTAATAAATTGAGAGAGTATAGCTAATTAAGAGATAGCTACCGATTTCTAAATAGACTCCTTTAGTTAAGATATCTCAAAATCCCTAAAAATATAGTTCCTAGTAACCGTCAAATCTCGAGGGGTAAGACGGGTAGATAATCTTACTCCTAGAACATTAGTTTAGTAGATCATATAAAGTGATAGTATATATCTATACCTTCCCTTTACTTCTAGAGCGGGATCCCGGTTTCTCGTAGTCCCTAGGGCCCCTAGGGACACTAATTTATAGTGCTAAGCGAACAATATAGACGATAGGTCATCGTAGGTTACTTAACTAGGTTTCTTAGAATCAGAAAAATATGTTTATTTCGATTTTTACTATAGTTAAGGATAGCTACTATATACTGATCTTAAATAGCTATATATCTTTTTTCTATTTTCTAAACTTAAATAAGGGTCCCGGTAGCCTAGTTTAAACCGTCTATATCCTAGGAGCTTAGCCCTTTAGTTCTAATAATAATTACTCTATCCTAATAACTTTGCGGGATATTTCCCCCTCTATAGAGAGATTATAAAAGCTTTAAAATCAAATGATATAAACTATAATATTAAGACTATTTAAAGGCAAAAATCTCTCCTAGGTCTAGAAGTAATTTATTTTACCCTAATCCTTTAGGAGCGACCTAAGCTAAACGGTACTAAACTATCTTCGTAAATATCGATTTTCCTAAATATCCCTTTCCCCCTAAAAATAGATTTAGGTTAGTTCTTTAATTTTATCTCCTTATCTTAAGATCTTCCTAGACTAAAATACGAAATTTAACTTAGCTATACTTCCTATAAGGTCACTACTAGAGATAATCATTACCTAAATTTATTCCCAATTTACTATCGTTTAACGTAAATACCACTAAAAAGATACTATACTTCACAATATATCCTAGTATATCGAAACAATACGGTAGCAAAACTATAAACTTAATCAGAAATTGAGAGTTGTGGAGGCTTAGGTAGTAAGTATAAGAAGTAAATTCTTATTAAGAGAAAGGCTACTAGATTGTTAAAAGATACTCTACAAGTCAGGGTAGGTGCCTGTCAATCAGGTAGGAGAAGGTAACAAGATAGGTGGTTCCCAAAAGTCAAAGACTGTTTCTTGAAGAGCCGTTAGGCTTCCTCCATATTGTCCAATTTATATACAGTCTCCCCATATTGATAGCGGGAGGAAATGTGACACGTGGAGCGGGGTCTCGTTCCCGCGGGGAGCCCTTCTCGGAAGGATAGGGAAACATGGGCGATCCCCCTCCGGAGAGGTCAAACCTCCTATAGGCCTGAGGCACCAATCTGGGAATGGCCTCACGTCTGATTATATCATAACATAGATATAAAAGCTTGATTATATTTAGGAGCCTAATATAGAATATATAACTATTTCTAGATCGTATATCTTCAAAATTAAAGCTATTAGATTATACGAATTAAGTAGGACGGCTTTAGGCCTATTTTCTAGGAGGTAATCTTTAGCCTATTTTTAAGTATATCCTTATATAGTTATATCGTAGGAATAACCTATTTTCGGACAATAAATATAAAGGAGCGTATTATAACCTACGTTGTATATAGATATCTAATAGACATAGTATAATAGCCTCTATAGATATTGAAATTGGTACTAAAGACCTAGTTAGCTACCTAGCTGCTAAAGCCTCTTATATATTGATATATAGCTATCTAAGGCTAATAGGAGGAGTCTAGTATCTAAGTTAGCTAGTGATTAAGTAATAACAATCTAATATTAGTAAACTATAGATAACTACCTACTATTATAAGCTTATACCAAATAGATATAGTAGAAAGGCGGCGGTATAAGTGATAAGGGCCGAGATCTATTAGTCATAAGTACGGGTCGCTAGTTAACGGCTAAAGGGCCTAGCTAGCCTATAAACCGTAGACTATAAGCTAGCTAGGCCCTTTAGCTATTAACTAGCGACCGAACGGGCTTACTATCTTAATAGGCTAGGGAATACGTAGCTATAATCCTTATTCGATCAAGATCTAGGTCTATTAGAGTAGATATAACTTATTAGAACTATACTATATTATCTAGCGCTTTAGTCGCCTATACTAGTGACTAGCCGCCTAAGTACGCGAAACTAAGTCTATATTCTCCCTATTATAAACTAATTCGGGACTATCCGCTATAGAAATAGTGTTTGTGCTATCCTAGACAGCCGTATCAAAGTATTATATAGGAGCAATTACGCGAAGATTTTAATTATAGAATATTACCGGAACTTCCTCCTTCGCTTTCTCCCTAGCGAATACTTCTACCGGTACTAGATTAACCGTAATCTAATAAATAACGTAATCCTATCCGCCCTAGCTATCTCTTCCCCTAAAAATAATCCGAACTTTTTGCTCTTCCTCGCGTCGCTACTTATAATCGATAGTCTCGTTTTTACTCTATTTAGGACGAGCGGCGGTGATTTATACTCTCGCTACTATCCTAATACCCGAGGTAGACTCTAGCCTTACCTATATAAAGGTCGTAGAACCCGGACGCTATTAGAATATAAGTTATTATTTATAGCTATTTAAAATAAACTATAGTCTAGAACTCGTATATTACTAAGCTAGAAATACTTCCGAGATAAGGTCTATAATAAATCTCTTAAACTATATCTAAATATATAAATAAAAAGAATCATCCCTAAGACCATATAAATCACTAAGCTTATAATCGCTTTAATCAACGTAGTATATATTTAATAGTAGACGTCTTTATTTTCCCTAGTCGTCCTTTACCCCTCCGCTACCCCTTAGGCTACTCTTCTAGGCGCCTATCTTTTCGAGAAGAGCGCGTTATATACTATAATAAAGAGTCTAGATTAGGACTAGGTTCTATATTTACTACCTTTACTATTCCCCTTATTACTTACTATATAGAAACCCCTACCAAATTTAAGTTAGTAATCGTTATTAGGTATCGAGAAGGGGAGGCGGAAATATCGGTTTTTAATAGGTAGGCTAATAGCTTTATAACGGTAATAGGGCCGGGTCTTATTAAACGAGGATCGATATTTATTATATCAAAATCGATAGAGGAGGCGGGAGTTTTAGTGCCTTACCGATTCTCTAATTCTATAGATATTTCTTTAGAAGAACCGTTACCGTAGCTAACCCGTAGCCTTTCGATAAGATAATATAGTTTAATATTAATATTATATTTATATTCTTAATTAATATACGCTAAAAATTCGGTGATTTTAGTAAACTTAGGAAGAGTACGATATACTTTCTAGTTATAGCTAATCCTATTATATATATAAAGTAGATAAGAGTCGATAAGATAACGACAAAGTAAGTCCGGTCGCTTAGAAGGAAATTTATACGGAGGAGGGTTCGACGCCGATCGGCGAGATTTACTAAAGTAGATAATATAAATATCTATTAGATATATTTATATACTATTATTAGACGCTAGTTACTCGGGCTATTTAATAGGTATATCTTCCTCTTTATCGAGATCCTAATTAATATAGTTGCCTCGCCTACTCGGCTCGTAAAGTAGTAGAAGCGTAACTATATCCTTAGTAACCTAGATACGTCGAGTAAGTAATTTATTCTTATAGAAGTCTTCTACGTTAGGACCGTAAAAGTTCTCTATAAGCCGAGCTCGTTTAGGAAATACGTAGTCCGGGATAGGGAGCTCCTAGTCTTCTTTAGCGGAACTTTTAGTATCGCGTTCCTTAACGTTAGATTCGCCGAGAAGTATTTACTTAATCTATCGGTCAACTTTAAATATAGGGGTATTATTAAAATAGTTCTTTCTAGCTATCTCGCGAGTTTTAATCGCTAATATTTTCCGAAGTTTAGCGAGGTCTTTTTTAACGGTCTTATACCTTTAGAAGAGGCGTAGAAAGGTATTATAGGCGTTCTTAATTATACTAGCTATAGACCGTATCTCCGCTATAAGCTCTCTTTTCTCGCGTCTTAGTTATAGAATTTTAGGGTTTTAGTAAATAGCACGTTTATAAGCTTCGGTAAGATTAGATAGTACCGATAAATCTCTCTTCCTAAGTATACTCCTAGCGAAGCGTACTAGACCTTCTTAGGAGGGCCGAAGAAGAACGATATACTAAAGGTCGCGCGTAATAAATTATAATTAGTAATACTTTTTAAATACCGCGTTACTAGACTACCCGAGTACCCTTTATCGCTCCTAGCTAGTAAAATTTTCTATAAGTAGATAGTTAGCTCCGTTATAAGAGATCTTATCTATTATAGCGAAAATAAATCTATTATATCGCGTTTAGTAAATAATATACTATTAACTTTATTTACTATCTAGCGGCGGAAATTATAATACTTAATATCGTCTTCGAACCTAGTATCTCGACCTAACTCCTTAAGCGCCTATCGACTTAAATTATAGGTTATTAGTAAAGACCTATCGAGTCTATAGCTATATAGAGTACGTTTAAGACGTCGAAGGAGAGGTATATTAAGAACCTCGGGCTTCTACTAGAAAGGAAGAGATAAATTACCTCTTAGGACTCGTAGCCGCTAAATAAGCTCTAGTATAAGGTCGGTATTAGTAAAAGCTCTATCGCGGAAAGCGAACGTAATAATCTAAGCTATCGGGTAATATACTAGTTAATAATCGCTATATATAAAGAATTTAGTTCTAATAGTAAGGATTAGTATCGAAGTTAGTTTATAATAAATTCGAATTAAAATTTTAGCTTACCTATTAGCGCCTTCCGGTCGACCTTTAAGATTACGAAACTCGATAATAGTATAGAGGATATTACGTTTACTTTAAAGATCTTTTAGGTAGAAAAGTTCGATATCGCGATAGTAGACCGAGTCCGGAAGATCTTTTAAGGAAATATACTTTAGAAAATCACTCTAGAAGGTATTATCCCGTTTACGTTTACCTAAAACTAGATTACTAGGCGACGAGATATCTTAAGGAAGTAAGACGTTAGATCGCGTATCTATAATAGCGGACTAGAGCTAGACTATAGCAAACTAAATAATCATACTCCTATAACGAAAGAATCTCGAATAGACCTAGTAATACCGGTAAATTATACTAAAATTATCTATATCTAGAGTATTTTTATCCTTTATTCGTCGGGGAATTTTACGCTCGGCTAGGAATATACCTTCGAGAAACTTTTCTAAGATAAGTATACTCTATTAAGAATAGATAAGATATAACTTACTTATCGTATCTATTAATAGGTATCCTTACCGACGCGGCGACGGGCGAATAGCTCGAAGTATTAATAAAGGCGTCGCTAGTATTTATTATATAACTAAAGTAGTTTCTTTTATAATATTTTAAATATCTAATTAAAAAAGTTTATATAGATCGTCGGATCCTCTAAGAGAAGAAAGTCTATATAATCCTCGTTCGATTAAATATAATATCTATTCCCGTATTATTCTTAGCTATAAGACTTTTCCCGACTAAGTAAGTACTTACTTTCGCTAATAACGTTCGATAATAGCGATACCTTCTAAGGTCTTTAGCTTAAAGTTTAGAGGGAGCTATCTAAGACTACGAAAATATTCTAGCCTAGCTCGAGTTTCCTTATAAAGAATAGGATCGGTCTAGTACTAATACTTATCGGTTTAAGCCGGATATATAGGCGTAGGTACTATAGAGGAGAATAGAATAAAGACTAGGGTAGGAAATTTATATTATAGGAAACGATAAAGTCGAGGTCGTCTTAAGGCGTAGGTAACGAGGATAAAAGGATAGGAGGTATAAGGATACTAGAGGGGAGGGAAGGCGAAGTATCTTATAGGCGCTTAAATAGACCGGGCGAAAAGGGAGGGGACTTAAATTTAGCTAAAAGGGAGCTATTTTCGGCGTCGTTTTGGTCGCTAGTAGAAACGAGGGGAAAAGCCGTCTAAGTCGAGCGTTAATATTAGGACCGGAGGATGACTAACATTGCTAGGCGGGTGTATAATAGTGGTGTTATAGGGCAGTGGGCGGTCAAGGGGCGGCTAGACGTCCAAAGTTACGGGTAGAAAGGCAGCCGTTTCTAGCCTCAAAAGCGGTCATTTTCGGCGTCAATCCCATAGGTCCTCATATTCTAGTTGTAAAACCGGCCTCCGACCGTAGTATTCACTCCTCGTAATAACCTTCGTAGTTGTAGTTAATCCTATTGCGAAACCGGTCTCGTCGAAGTTATAGATATCGTCGGGGTCGATCCTAAATTGAAGGATGGTTTTTTGAATAAGATCAAACCACTCTATAATGATTTTCGGGTCTTCATATTTCGCACGCTCGTAGTTATACCGTTTCGAGAATCGGGAGGAGAGGAGAGGACGTCGTTTAACGAATTTCGTAACCCAATTTTAGCCGACCGAAAGAACCGAGGTAGTTCTACGCTTTTGAAGAAGAAGATCTACTATTTCTCGTACTATAGAGGGCCGGGGAGCTACTCTACGTAGATCTATAGAGAGAATCCATTTTTGAAGAGATTCCTCTTCAATTTCAGTCAATTTAGAGCAATTGGCGCGAGAATTCGCGCGGTTTTGTATACCACTAAGGCGGCGGCGGAGGGTAGTTTCAGGTATAGTAAAACGGCGTGCCACTTCACGAATTGAAGAGATTTCTTGATTCTTAAAAGCCTGGATAGCTAGCAAGATCCTACCCTCCTGCTCTATTAAATTTCTAGAGCGTTGAGAGCGAATTGGTGGCATGGTAGGTGGTTGAAGAAGAAAGGGTTAAATTAATTGACGCGTTTTCGATGGGGTGCGCCACTCGGTGGTGTGCGCCGCTCGGTAGTGAAATACGTTAAAGAAGAGTAGTAACAAAATAAGTGCAAAGAACATCAATTTGTTCTGCTATATCAGCGAATTATACATCCATTTTGGGAAATTGTATGCTTATAATGGGCCATGTCCTGAAAACCCAAGACTCACCAGTTGTTCCATTCCTTTTTTCTTCAGACAAGAATCTTCTCACTGCTCGCTGTCACCGTTACGGCGAGTAGTGGTTGACACATGTCCCGTGGAATAATCGCTGTTGAAATAGTTAGCGGGTTTTATCATTTTAGTTGGTTAGAGTTGTCAACATCGGTCATCCATACCATAAACTGTTCGTATATCAATCCCTATGACGCCAAATCAGTCGACATGTCGCCCAGCCCCGGCGCAACAGCTGGACTCGACTTTGCCGGCGAGGTCGTTGCCCTGGGCGAGGCAGTTGACTCGACCTCCTCCCGACTTGCCTTGGGAAAACGGGTGTGCGGCTTTGTATTCGGCAACAACCCAGACCGGCGCGATAATGGTGCCTTTGCTGAGTACGTCGCTGTGCCGGCGTCGCTAGTTCTCTGTATCCCGGAGTCCATGACGTTTTTGGAGGCAGCGACGCTACCATGTGGTCTGGCCACCACTGGAGGGGCACTTTATAATAGCCATAGCCTTGGCCTGCCCCTGCTGGGATCTGGGTCCGAGGTGAACAGCTCGAACAAGTCTCCAACCTACGTACTAGTGTACGGTGGGAGTACAGCGACGGCAACGCTGATCATACAGGTGCTGCGACGGCATGTCTATATGTAATCTTTGAAATAAATATGGTTTTGAAATTGTTGACAATCCCCATAGGTCCGGCTTCATTCCAATTACCACCCGCTCCCCACACAACTTCAACCGCCTGCAACAGCTGAGTGCGGAGGCGACCTTCGACTACCGCTCGCCCACCTGTGGCTCGGACCTGCGCGACTACACCCACAGCCGACTGGCCTTTGCCATTGACTGCATCAGCTCAACTGGCTCGGTGCAAATGTGCTACGAGGCCATCGGGACTGCCGGTGGCAGATACGTGTCGCTGGACCCTTTCCCCTTGAACAAACACACTCGTCGCAGTATTCGGCCAGAGTGGCTATTCAGCTTCACGATTTTCGGACATGCGATTGACTGGGACGCCCCGTACAACTTCCCAGCCCGGCCAGATGACCGAGAATCGGCCGAGCGGTGGTATGCGGAGATTGAGGCAATCCTGGCGACGGGTGAACTTGTCACCCATCCATTTCTAGGAGGAGACTGGTGGCTTGTCCAGTGTGATCGATGGCATAGGGGCAGTGCGCAACGGACAGATAACAGGTTATAAACTAGTGTGTCCGATTTGGAACTGTGCTTAGTAGTTTTAGTATTGACTAGTTCCGGTTGATCGTTCAATGTTTTTTTTAGGGGGGTTTTCCTTTTTCTCTTTTTTGAGTCTATCAATCTTGTATCCGGGACTATGATAAATGCATCCTTCGAATCATGTGGTTTTCTGCATTCAATGATGATGATAACATTCTATTAATCTGGTGCTACCCAGCTAATACTGTTGAAACTTGAGATGGATCACAGTCCAGGCCCAGTCCACTCGTTCAGTATAAGATACCACCTTCCCTCTCTCATAGAAAATACACAGGCATGCACATCTCTTCCATCGTCCTCCCTCCCTGCTAGCAAGTAATCGCCGCGGTATTCAATCCCTCATTATCTTTGGCTTATCACTTGTTTCCTCTTCCATTTTCAAAAATTTCGTTGTTTGGATTTTTTGTCAGGATGAGGAATTGATGTACTGGCTAGTACTAAATATGTCCAATAGAATCCGATGATTGATTAAAGGTGTTGAGATGGGTTGAGCGATCTCCGGGACCTACCTCGTCCGTGCTCTGGCGTGTTACGACACCATATCCGAGTTTAGTCCGAATCCCATACAAATACTAGGGGAAATTGGGTAAACGATGAACAAGCCTATCCTAAAAGGTCATAGCGGTAACTGACCGCTTCCTTAGTTCGTCATTTTTTAAGATATTTGATTAATCTTCCCATCGCTGGAAAATCATATAGAGAAACCTGAGAGCGACTCGAGCTTCTATTGTACACTGCTTCTATTGAACACTGAAGGAAACATTCACAGATATGTATTCTTCTTTCATAGATGCAAATACACCCCACCTCCCGACTCCCTTCTCTGCTAATGCTCGTTGGGCTGGATTTGGCCAGTTATGATCCATTGATTGCTAAGACAGAGTAATGCAGCTCCACCACTCACTATGCCTTGGTAGTCAGACCCCATCCTCCAAGACGCACACGTAGTATGATCATCACCAGGCGTTGACACCGCATACGCTACTCCGCTGAATACAGACCACTGCAAAGGCGGTGCCCATCCGATATCCGAGCTCGTTGGGCGGGGACATGGTCAACGCAATCATGGGCCCTAGTCCAATAGTCGCACCCGATGCAAAGCCAAACAGGAGTGTGAAGACGATTATAATTACTGCTTAAGCCCCAAATTGTATGTCATATATTAATCCCTACTCCGTAGATACTTCAGCAATAGAGAGATTTCAGATACTTCAGATCACAAAAATCACAGCATATAATAAAGTCATAGTTCATATACTATATACATACTAATAATGCTCATACATTTCATCCTCAACATGCTTCCTCTTCCTCCCTGATATACGCTACTGAGTATTGGTACTTGGCAGTTACGGCATAGTAGTAGTGTATACAGGCTGGTCTATACAGGCTGGAACATACGTAAAAAACATAGATTATTTAGCTATTTTATGTAACTATGCCAAGACTGTAGTTATGCGTAATAATGGGCTTTAATGGGGCCCCATTAATGGGCTGTGGGTTGGGTTGGGCCTCGAAGGTTAGGCCCATAGCCCACTGCTGGTTGGGCTTTGGGCCCGGGGTCCGGGCCCATTTGTGGGCTTTGTGGAACACTATGGGTGGGTGGCTGGTTAGCTCGGCGAGCGGCGTTCGTCGAATGCCGTCTCCGATTCCTCTTCCGATTCCTCTTCCTGTTCCAGTTCCCTTCCACCTTTTTGTCTTCTTCTTCTACTCGACTGAGATTACTAAGCAGATGATCGGCCAGCATGGAATCCACCGTGCGCTCGCCTCTGCCTTATGGAAATGCATGTGCCACCTGTGCTCGTGCCAAGTGCCGTTGCGTCCCCTGGAGTGGTGGTGGTGGCCGCTGTGAAAGGTTAGTGGACCAACACCGTGCGGAGGAACACTATCCACGCAGTGGGATGGGAACTCGTTGGGAATGTATTCGAGTCTGATATTATTCACAGATGTCATCGTTTGAACAAAGAATGCCGCGTTCCTCAGGGACGTCGCAAGATCCAGCCCAAGACCTTGTCCAGGTCGGTTCAGCTGGAACGGAAAATGGATGGCTTGATGTCGCTGCTGACCTCCTCCGGCGGTCGGACGGATCTGCCAACGCCAGTCTGGGGACAACCTGGGGTGCAGGGGATGGGGCAAACTGAGGTCGAATCAGAAAGAGAAGACGAAGAAACATTAGCAAGTGAAAAAGAGTCTCTGCACGCTTTTCGGACCCAGCGGCTGCAGTTCCTCCCCCTGATCCACATACCAGCCACAACAACCGCTGGTGATCTGAAACGACAGTCACCATTTCTGTGGCATTGTATTTCTGCTGTGGAAAGTAAGCATACAGCACGTCAAGCAACCTTGTGTGTTAGGATCCGGGAGTTGGCGGGCAAGCGGCTGCTGGTCGACTGCGATAAGTCCCTGGATCTATTGCAGGGAGTATTGGTCTATCTTGCATGGTATGGTATGCTCACCTCCCATTGTGGTTCAGTGACATAGGGTTTGCTGAAGTTCTCTCCCTTCCTTGCTTACTCTCGACCAGGATCACGTTGCACAGCCAGCCGCAAAAGTCATCGCTCTGTATGTATTCCCAAATGGCGATCGGGCTAATCTTCGAGCTGGGCCTCAACAAGCCCGCGCCTCCGGATCTTAGCATGACAGTCTCGAACTCCAATGCCGTAGGCCATATGCCGGGTTTGGAAGCATCAATTTCAACTCGGCGCACGATGAATGAACGCCGGGCAGTATTGAGCTGCTTTGTGCTGACTTCTATGTAAGAGCCCATATCCGGCAAAGCGATTGAGCATCGAATTGACAGACCTCGTACAGAATCGCGCAGTTCTTGGGTCGAATGGAACCACTGCAATGGACCCCGCATATGAAGCAATGTCTTGATATTTTAGCGGACAGTGAAGAATCGCCTGGTGATGGAGTGCTAGTCCAGTTCACGCGTACCCGACTTCTCGTGGACCAGATTTCTCAAGGCCCCTGGAGTGAGGGTCTGTATGGCCTCAATTCGGCGCAAACCCTAGCCGCCTTCCATCTCAAGGCACTCCAGTTACGGTTGGAGACGATCAAGGCTGAGATTCCCATTCAACTGGCTGACAACAGTATGCAGATCCCCTGGCAAAAAGATGTCCCACTTACAGCTACTTACTTAACCTGTCTTAGAACCCATTCTCTTTCATTTGTACGACACTGAGCTTAGTATTTATGAAGCTGCCCTAGTTAAGCCCCTTATAGACGAGGAATTCAGCCCCCAGCGACTTGATCACCTCTACGCCTGTCTCCACGTGGTGAAACAGTTTTTTGATTTATTTTTCACAATCCCTCCAGCTGGATACACGTCCCTGGCGCTCCCTTATCTTACACAGGTGTCGCACTGCCTGGTGGCCCTCTTCCGCCTATCTACTTTGGACTATCCGGGATGGGACAAGAGGACGGTAAAAAGCACGGCGGACATACTTGTCATTGCGGAGCAGATTGCCACACGCATGGGCCAGGTGGCGGATGCGGTTGGGATGCGCAGCGAGGGCGCGTATGGCGATCCGTTCAGTAAATTGGGGATGATGATGCAGAAGCTTCGGAGTGAGTGGGCAGTACGATTACCAGATTACCCGGAGGTGGTTGCGGACCAAAGCTCAGGCGAACCATTCTGGTCGAGCATCGAGATGGGTGATCTGGATTGCTTTATGAATTGGTCAGAGATGGGGTGGGTGATGGAAGGGGCTAGGGCCGGGGGATTCATACAATGAAAGTTCTCTTCAATGTTTAGTAGGTCGTTACTGATATGGATCCGCTCTAATGCCAGTGGATATCAAATCATAACTGTCTATGTGCAAAAGTTTGGGACTCGATCTTGGAATTCGTTGATATCCATGCCTAGGGATTCAACTTGAAGACGCGAATATCCACCAGTTGACAAAATACTAAAAATACTATCCACGCTACTTCAATTTCTTTTAATATCTCCTCGGGCTTCTCTACGGGTCGCGTTTGATTAAGAATTCAGTATTAGATTATATCAGGAAAACTGAAATGTCCACCACCTGGGCAATTACCTTGGTGGATCTTGCTTCAAATTTAAACAAAGCCACTGGAGATTTCAACTTCTCTTACAAATCCGAATCAAATGAAATCAAATATCATTGTCCAACCGGCGAGTTGGCACGGGAGGCACGACGTTCCAACGGAGATGGAACGGGAAGAGCGGCGTTCGGGGATGGCAGCAACCAACGCCGTGCTCCCCTTCCCATACTTAATCAATTCAAAGTCCACCTTCTTCAGTCTACAGCGTTCAATGCAATGCAAATTGAAAATTGAAAACGGAATTTCAGCAAATATTAGGAGGGGAAACGGCCATCCAAGCTCCATCACGCCGCCAACATGAGCGAAGACAGCCAGCCACGTCTTCTGAAATCCGACCCCACCCCGTGGGACCATGATCCGAATGCAGAGAACTCCAATCAAAGCGACAATCAAAGCGACGAGTATGAGCCAGAATGGGTGGAGGGAATCACACTGGTGATGGTGATTTCAGGTATCACGCTGGTCGTGTTTTTGATGCTGTTGGATATGTCGATTGTTTCGACGGTATGACCACAATTCAAATGCTGGAGAGATGAACTTTTGGACTGACATAGACAGGCCATTCCAAAAATCACCACTCAATTTGACTCGCTCGGTGACGTTGCATGGTACGGGAGTGCGTATACAATCTCCAGGTATGGTGGAACGCAATGCAATCTAAAACAAATGCAAAATTGCAATGGCTAACAAGTATCACTCACTCTCTAGTGCGGCTCTCCAGCCGCTAACCGGGAAATTCTACACTTACTTCTCATCGAAGTGGACATTCCTCTCTTTTTTCAGTATATTCGAACTGGGCTCCTTAGTTTGTGGGGTAGCAAACTCTTCCAAAATGCCCATCATCGGCCGCCCGGTGGCAGGAATCGGATCATCGGGCATGATGAACGGGGCGTTGAATATCCTGGCCGGTGCAGTGCCGATCAAAAAGAGACCGGCAATGATTGGGATCATCATGGGGGTAATGTGCTTGCCGAAAAAATGATTTTTCCATAGGGCTGACATCTCTCGCAGTTGGCCAACTGGGCTTAGTTGGAGGGCCACTAGTTGGTGGTGCTTTTACGACTTACTCGACTTGGCGATGGTGTAAGTTTTCGCGGCCTATAACGATAATATCCTGTCAAAAGGCACTGTTGACCCGGTTTTAGGCTTCTATATGAACCTCCCCGTCGGGGCATTAGTTGGTGTCCTGCTCCTCTTCACACGCGTCCCAGACCAAAAGCCAAAACAACCCGCCCGCGAAATCCTGCGTTCAGTGGTCCTTCAGAAATTCGACTTCATTGGGTTTGTGCTATTCGCGCCGGCCTCGATCATGCTTCTTCTGGCGCTACAATATGGTGGAAATGAGTACTCGTGGGACAGTGCAACAGTCATTGGCCTGATCTGTGGATCAGTCGCGACTTCCGTGGTCTTTGCTTTGTGGGAACGGCATATGGGCATCGAGGCAATGATTCCGGGTCATTTAGTCTGCGATAAGATTGTCTTATCCAGCAGTCTACTATCGATGATGATCTTTGGGTTTACGATGACTCTCTCATACTACCTGCCCATCTACTTCCAGTCTGTCCGGGACAAGTCCGCCTTGGTAAGCGGTGTCGACTTGTTGCCAAACATTCTATGCCAGTTGGTCATGGCCGTGGTATCCGGGGTGCTGAGTGAGTGTCTTTCATTCTCCCTTGTCTTCCTTGATAACGCTAATCAGTTTGATAGCCTCAAAGCTCGGTTACTATCTTCCTTGGGGAGTTCTTGGAGCTATTCTAAATGCCGTGGGAAATGGCCTGCTCTCTACCCTGTCACCCACTACCTCGGTGCCCAATTGGGCCGGCTACGAATCGCTGGTAGGATTCGGTCGAGGTGCCATCTCCCAAGTAGTGAGTTTTGCGTTCCTCGTCCTCCTTCTTCTTCAATATACTAATACCTATATAGCCCATGATCGCCATCCAAAACGCGGTCACAGGTGATGACGTCTCCACTGCCATGGCCATGATGACCTGTGCCCAGACCTTTGGCGGGGCCATCTTCCTGGCTGTGGGGGAAGTTATATTCGCCCAGACCCTTAAGAAGAAGATCCCTGAGTACGCCCCCTCTGTGAATGCCGAAGCAGTCATCGCTGCCGGCGCGACCGGATTCCGCGAAGTTGTGTCGGCACAGAACCTGCCGGGCGTGTTGGTAGCGTACGCGAAGAGTATAGACTCAGTTTTCTATTTGAATGTCGCGCTATCTTGTGCGCAGTTTGTCTTCGCATGGGGAGTTGGATGGAGGAGTGTGAAGGAGAAGGAGGAGGATTCGGAGGAGAAAGTAGCAGAGTCGGCGTGAGCTCCAGACGTCCCGTTGGATCAGATTATATTGTTCACTAGATCATTGAATTTCTCTCCTCTAAATATATATGCACAAATTTATATGTCATACTGGATCCATGTGATTGAACAGACAGCTAACGACTATTCGAAATAATGAATACAATATTGCATCCTCGTTTAGGCATCCTTTAAGTTCAAGTTGCTTATTGCTAATAGTTAGGTGTCTTTAGACCTTCTTCCAAGGTTATTGTTTTATATGCATCTTTTTCTTTTCTTTTTCCCCCCCCCCTTTTGATCCAATGGGAATTTCAACCCATGACTCTACATCTACAGCTTATAGGGTACAATTTCAGTTTACACATGCGCAGGGTTTTCAAACAGCAATTTGCAACTTTCTAGCTATAGTCTACCACTGCGCCATTTACATTGTTTTCACATCTTCGAGGCCTACATATCTTGAACTCATACCTAATACAACTCCAGATGTCGAAGTTGAAACCATATATTCCAGAATAAGCTATTCAATACATCCTACAAAATAGACTCTTTCACAGACCATTCAAGATAGATAAATCCACAGCGTATTCCACACCTAGGCAGACCATTCATACTCGAGTGGTAGAATCATGTTTACACCATGTTGAAAACCCCTAGACCTCCTGCATAGCATCTGGTCAGTTGATGTCAAGTGCTTCTTTCACCAGCCTACCCACTTCACCAGCCTGAATATCACAATCAGTCACCTGTTTTGATAATGATTATATGTATCATGCCTGCACTCACCCGCGATTCTCTCATCATGGTAAAATAAAGGTGCAGGCCGATGATATGACCTCCTTTGTCGAGGGGAAAAAAGATTCAAGCTGAGGAGGTGGTCACTGAACAGCACTTGAGTGAAGTGACTCGGAGCAGTGCAAACATTCAATGTGTACTTCCTTATGATGTCTTCTATACTAGTATACCTAGACCTAGCTTTGCGCCGGGTTCCAACAGGCTGGCATAATGCACCCATCAGATTTTCATCTTTATCTTATGTTCCATCCCGCTCATAGCAGATCATTAAGGTTGAAGGAACATTTGAAGCGATGGGGCATATGGTCTTACTTAAACTGAGGTCCCATCCTCCTAGTCTCCTAGTCCTACGTCGCCTTCTCCAGTCTACCATAAGACTGCACATGTGGTCGTTTGCCGTAGTGTCAAAGGTGTTTCAGAGCATAAGTTAGCCTACGTGAGCTTTTTCCATCATATCCACCTGATCCCGTAGAAAACTCAAAGTGACACTTGTCTCCTCTCCCTTTTTCAAAATATAGCTTGATGATCCACTGACAGCCATAAACTCGATGCCCCCAACGTCAGGTGCCATTGCAATGCGCCATGCCAACAAAAACCCAGCCACGTTCCAAGCCACCTCCTCAGAAGTGGTCGGAAAAGTTGTAGCTTTGTAGTCACCAGTCTCATCACTAGACCTCTACATAGCCCATCAATAGGCCCAGACCCCCGGCCCAACCCACTTCCCATTAATGGGGGCCCATCAAAACCCATCAAAAGCCCATTTCTGTGCACAAATACAGTCTTAGCATACATAAAGTAGATGATTAATGACTGTATTTTACGCAGGTACCAACCTATATCTTTAGTATTATTATATTATCATAGTAAGAAGTAGGAATTAAGTGGATTTTATACTAGTTTAGCATTATAATGAGTTTTATACAAAATTTCATATAAAATAACCCTAAAAAGATCTAATTTGATAATGAATTCGTACCTAGAAGGAATTACTAAGTATTAGTATAAAGAGATATATATTATCTATAGAGGATTGATACCACTTTCTATGGTCAATTGTAGTAATACTTACAGTACCTCTACTTACTATATAAACCCCTAATAAAAATAAGTACCTCTTATAAAAAAGTAAAGCTTTATAAAAATCAATTTTTGATTCTTATTTTTCGGCCTCCAAGTATCTATTACTTAATATCTTATAAATAAAATCAAATCAATCAGTCCTATTAGTTAATTTATAAGTGATTTATATATAGCTTCATATACGGCTTACAAGGTAATTTTAATACCCCCAAAGAATAGGGAAAAAATGCATTAATTATACAGCTGCGATAAATTCGTATGTTTGTATTGTTTGGTTAATAATGAGGGCCCTATAGGCTCGGTGGATGGGCCCATAGCTGGCCGATGGGCTCGAAGGGTGGGCCTAAAGCCCAACCCATTAGTGGGTTGGGTTGGGTTGGGCTATGGGCTTTATGGGCTATGCAGAGGTCTAATCTGTACCATACATTGTTCGTACGCCATCTTTCTGTCAAATATCATAAAACGGATGGGGTTCTCTACTCCGTCCTACGCCCTTTCGTTATGACGTATCTCCTTGATAAGATGTAGTGCTCTAAAAAGTGAGGGTAGTAGTAATGCTATCAACGAACTAACTATCATAGTATAGACGACCCTATGGGGGCTAATCCCTTCTGGGTATAGTATGCGGTGGGTTGAGTGCATTAGTGGTGCTTACTGATTGGACACTGAGCATCACTGAGTAATCAGTGAGCACCCTTATAAAAGCGGCGGCAGATCAAATAGGAAAGCCCCACACGCCAGGGAAAATCCGGTACGTATAGTTACATATGTACTGTATAGACGGTTTTGGGTGTTTAACCCTAAGTAGGCGATCACGACAATATGATCATGGGTTGCTGCTCCTAAGAATTACGCCAACTTGAAAAGGACGTTTGCGAGCCCTCTTTTAAGAGGGAAATCCGCTTATTTCTAGATAGAAGACTTAGCGTGGAGAAGTAAAAGGACTGGATTTCCTTACCTTCACCTTAACAAAGTCAAGCCTCTTTTAATGCCTATTTCATAGTCATCACGCGTTGCTATAATAGTTATTTATTATTCTTTCCATTAGTAAGCGCGATATTACGGGTTTGGGACTAGCGCTACTGTAAAACCACGGAGATAGAGACGCTAACGAATTGAGATAGTAGGTAAATTGCCTTAGAAAAAAACGAAACGGTTATTTAGGAGTTAGCCGAATTTGCATTTCCTATTGCCTTCTTATATACAAGCTTAAGATGGTCTGATGATAGATAGATAAAACTCAAATAGCCTCTCGTTAACGTAATAATGGTTTTTTGAACATTCGGTCACAATTTCACCACCCGCCATAGCTTTTCCTCATCGTTGACCAAAAGTTCGGAGGGTAAACCGTGTAACAGGTCGGAAGCAAGCTTTGAGACCTCTACTAATGGCCCGGAAAACCTTGACAAACGGCCGGAAGATGACAGACAAAGTGCCGACCATAGAATTGAAAACAATAGCAAAATGGTGGTCGGGGATCATGCGTAGAATCATAGCCCACGGCATACAGCCCACCGCACAGATGAGGCAGACAGCCCATAAAACCCCATTGAGACGGGTCACACGAAATGCTTGACCACCAATGAATACTATCATTATTTGTCCACCGACAATGACGGCATTGATACCCAGGAACCAGTAATTCTGAAACATGCCCTCGAAGACATTGAATTTGTTGTCGAGGCGGCGGCAATTGAACTCATTGAAAACTTGCATCCACACAAATGTGTTGAAGATAACTGTGGAAAGCTGTTTAGATCGAAGTCCTAGGTCGTTGCTGTCAAGTTGTGGGTTCAAAAGTTGGTCCCCAGCGAAGTAGAGCATAAAGATCACGGTGAGTTTGTACAATGATTGTCCGAGGATCATCTTCCACATATTCATAGTAAAGAGTGAGGCACTCTTAGGCACGGGTTTTCGATCCAGAATTTCAGGTGTTGGACCGTCGGTAGCTCTGGGTTCCATATGTTAGCGAAATAACATACATGCCATAGGAAAGGGCTGCTATTCACAGGGCTAGTGCAGCAAAAGTATCCATTATAAGGTTCACCCAGAGCAGCTGCACGGCATTCAGCACGGGATTATTCGAATCGCTATAAATGGATGACACAAATGTCAGAATGACGGCCGTGATGTTGACCGTGATTTGGAACTGAAGGAACTTTGCAACGGCGTCGTTCACCGTCCGTCCCCAGGCGATCGCCGTAACGATAGATCGGAAGTTATCATCGAGAAGGATGATTGAGCTAGCCTCCTTAGCTACCTCGGTGCCGGCAATACCCATAGAGAATCCAACGTCCGCGGTTCGTAAAGCCGGCCCGTCATTTGTGCCGTCGCCCGTTACAGCGACTATTTCGCCAAGATACTTAAGCCGCTCTACTAAAATACGCTTGTCTTCTGGCGAAGACCGTGCTAGAACCTGCAGGCGGGGAATTACCTGGTCTAATTCCTCAACCGATAAGCGTCGAAATTCGTGGCCTTCCATGCATAACCCATCTTCAGTCTTGATACCACATAACGACGCAATCGCGATAGCAGTTGCAAGATTGTCCCCAGTCACCATCTTGACTTGGACTCCTGCGGAATAACATTTGCGAATCGCTGGAGGAACCTCGGGCCGAAGGGGATCCTGAATGCCCACGACCCCGACCCAGGTCATGTCCCGGAAGACATCGTCAAAATCAGCCGAACACGGATCATCTTCTAGCTTCCTAGCCCCTGTCGGAGGCCAGCTGGTATAGTCCTTGTATACAATTCCAATCGTTCGAAGAGACCCCCTAGCGAATTGGTCAATGGTCTCAAGGACTTGACGTCGGTCGTCCTCTGAGAGAACTTCCGTGTGGAGCCCTTTCTCAGGAGTAGCTATATCTGCAATCTGCGTAGAAGACGCACCGATCATCAGCTCGGAAGCACCCTTAACAAGGAGCCGATATTCTGTATTAGAGAGGCGGTAAACGATACCCATGCATTTCCGCGCCGAGTCGAATGGAAAAAGCTGGACAGTCTCGGCAGATGCACGCTCTAGAGTAAGATCCATACCCAAATAATCATGGGCTAACTGGAGCATTGCGACTTCAGTCTTACTCCCAATGAACTCTTTTTGGCTGCTCATCCTTTCTTCAAAGGCGGTAGAGTTCAAGGCAACGCTCTTAACAATAAGATCTCGCACCGGTGCCGTAATTTGCTGGAAAACCTCTGAGATATTCCTAGGTGTAGCTTCACCGTCTGGTAGTATACCAAATCTTGAATTTGAGCCCCACATGCCGGCGACGGCTGTCATTTTGTTTTGTGTTAACGTCCCTGTTTTGTCCGAGCATATTACCGTGGCGTTTCCCATTGTTTCGCAGGCCCGTAGAACGCGAACCAGGTTATTCTCTTTGATCATACGAGTCGTAGCGAATGCTAGAGCAAGTGTAACTGCAAGAGGAAGGCCCTCTAGGAAAAGAAGAATATGTTAGAAATAAAGAAGTATTAAAGTTCGTTAACTACTTACCAGGGACAGCGACAACGATAACAGTCACAGCCACAATTAAGATATCCACAAAGTGCTGGCCCCTGACAGTAGAGCTCTGATCAGGATGATTCGGAAGATCGGCAATGAATTGGAACAACAAGACAAGAAAGAGAATGATAGCTGCACTATAGTATTTTTTTAGTACCTCTGTTTTATGTCTAGGAACTATAATACTCACGCTGATCCTAGATACCCGATCCAATTTGCAAGACGACCCAATTTTACCTGGAGTGGTGTTGGATCGTTAGAAGTCTGCAGCGACAGCATAAGTCGACCATATGTGGAAAACGGTCCAACACTGGTCACGAGATAGGTGCCAACGCTTTCGAGGACCTTACTACCGGAGACTATAAACGGGTCAAGCTTCTTGTTTGTACGGCCTTCAATAATCTGCTGCCAAACTTCATGACCATTCGTCTTTTTTATGTGATCAGACTCGCCGGTGACCGATGATTCGTCGCATTTCACACCATGACCCGAGATCAAGATCCCGTCAGCGGGAATAGAGTCACCGGGCTCTATGTGGAGCACGTCGCCCACCATGATATTGTGAACAGATATCATTGTCGACTTGCCTGAGCGAATGGCTTTAACGTCGCGGTTATCGTTCTTATAGAAAGGTTAGGTATATAGTACAATTTAGAGATAAATCGAATTGTGAATCAAACAACACGTACTCGCTTGTTGAGTTTGGCAAACTGCTTCTCCTTTTGCCAGTCATTGGCAGCGGTGACGACGGTGACAATCAGAATCGCCACGCAGATAGCCACCCCTTCCACCCACTCCACGCCTGTGCCGCCATCTACCGTTTCATATATCCCTAAAGACAATGAAATAATAGCGGCAATGGTCAACAAAATAATGATCTTATCGTTGTAGGCGACCCAAAACAGCTTCAAGAACCCAGCTGACCTTCGGGCCGGTATCTTGTTCTCAGAAAAGGTGCGGATGCGGTCCTCAAATTTCGAACGATCGTTGGTTGTTACAGCTACTGCTGGAGCCGGATTGGCTTCCAGTTGCGATTTAGCGATATAGGGTGACTTGTCGTACAGGTGTGGCGTGACCTGCTGAAGATCTACAAAGCCATCCAGTCGGCCCTCGTCGACAGATAGACCTGCATTAAGGTCCGTTCGCAGACCCTTTTCCAACCCCTGCAAGCCACCGAGGACAAAGAACGCTGCGAGGGACTTGGGATTTTGCATTTTGTTCAGCTGTCCAGGTGAGAAGGCGAACCGATTTTCGTCAACATGGAAATCGGCCTCATCGCTAGGATTCGGTGCTAGTGCTTCTGAAAGCGACACGTGGTCATAATCAAATTTGACGGTGTAATCCGAATACATATCCGACAGGGTCTTGGAGCGGACTACCGTGGCCTCAGTAGATGCGATCGATTGCGAGCTCGGACGCAACGCATTGTTATCAATCGACTGCGAAGGCCGATGTAAAGCATGAGAGACTATCGGTAATGCTGCATCCGAGCTGTTCCTTGCATTATCTGGTGCGTGGGAAGAACACGGGCAATGGCTACTATTCATTGGTCTTGGATGTGTCGAAGACATTTCGGCGGATGGAACCGATAGGGACAACCGCTGGGAGGGAGATTTTACTAGACAACTGTCTCCAGATGCACGCTGGGGCCTGGTAATCTCTTCATCAAAGGAGTTTGTCACCAGCAAGGGGACCGGGGTTGAAAGGTGCGGGTCCGAATCCATGCGAGAAGAAGAAGCCATAAGAGCGTTTCACACGGCACTTCTTCCGCTAGTAAATTGGTCATTGGAAATAATTCATCTCTGGTGAGAGGGTACCGTTTCAGATGCCTGGATATTGGCTAATTATGCTTCCCCAAAAGGAGGCTGTGTAGTGGCGTCCAGAAAGCTTTTGAGTAGTGGGAAGCCGTCATCCATGGGCAACTGCACAAGGGCTCGCAGGCCAGCAAGGATGCCAAGAAGTATTGGACTTGCGGTTCCAAAATCTTGAATATAATGCTGAACTCAAAGAATGCAAGAACTCTGTTCAGGATGAATTAATTACCTTCCCAATGCCAGATTGGTGGAAGTAGCACATCTCAATGAGCAGCACTGTGTTTTACTACGTACGCCAAGAGCTAGGAAAACTAAGGCGAGCTCATGACAAGCAAAGGTGAGGTGGGCTTCTATACAGGCACACTGCCGCTCTTGGGGGGCTTGGTGCAGATTTCTTGTACTTTTCTCTCTGAATATAGCTAAATGGAGGCGCTAGGACTCTGTATGTCAGGTCCTATCTACAAGGGGACTTGAGAAGCTGCTTTCATGATGCCATTCTAAGGGTGACCGGGTTTGGGCTGGCCATGTTTATGGGTGGCAAATAACTTGGGCTGCGCCTCGATCCAGAGCCCCAATTAGCTTTCAAGCTCTGGAAGCCCCATAACTTTACATTGTTATCGGCCCAGGGGAGAGCAATCATGCAGTTGGTGCTCTCCCAAGCAAAAGAAATGGGAAACGAGGAGGATATGGGTCAATTACGTCATGGGGTTCTGGGGTCTAGTTCATGGACGCAGGTGCTGGGTCGCCTTCCCAAAACGGCAAAGGCCATCAGCGTCACGAACCACCAATAAAATTGGACATTTAAAAAATTACTAGTATTGTAGTATTTTCAGGGATGTGGCATGGGAGAATGCCAATCAAAGCATTATGCCCCAGTACTTCCTTCGTAGAAGTGAAGAAACCAAAATAAATAATTAGAATTGATTCTGCCGACAATTTTAAAGTCGACACTATCAAGTTGGGATAACTCCATAAATAAATACCCAAATAACCTTGTGAGATCAAACAACCGCCGTTCATATTAAGATTCAAGTAGTGCCTAAGAGGAGGTACCGAAGTACTGCTTCTCATTGGTAATCAACAAGCCGGCAATCGTCGCACTTGTGAAAGTACTGATGGCTCCAGTCACCATAGCACTAAATGCAACACGCGAGACATCATTGGACCGACCAGGCGCGATCTGCGAAAGGACACCGATTTGGTTACCGAGGGATCCAATATTAGCGAATCCACAGAGCGCGTATGTAACGATGAGGCGAGAGCGATCGGAGAGATCCTTGTACTCGGCGTTGTGTTGGAGGGCATCATAGGCGACAAATTCGTTCTATGGCTGGTTAGAAGGGAAAATTATTATGCAGATAGGGAACTTACGGTAACAAGTTTGGTACCAATCAGCTTGCCAACCTTGAGCAGATCACCGTCACGGGAGACACCGAGCAGGAAGGCAATGGGGTAGCAGATGTATCCGACGATCAGCTCGAGGGTCAGTGGGGGGTCGTTGATGTTCAAGTATCGGCCCCACCAGGTGAGTAGGCCGTTGACTAGACCGATGAGAGCGATGATACAAAGGAGGGTTGATGCAATCATGGCAGCAATCTTCAGACCGAGCCAGGTACCGCTGGTGAATGCGTGCAGGGCATTAGCGGAGCGGTGTTCATCATCATCGGGGACGACGACACGGCCTGCAGTGAGGGTTTCTTCCTCTTCGGGCCAACGTAACTTCGAGACTGCTAGGGAAGCGGGAATACTCATCACACAGGCGCTGACCATTGCCTGTGGGTTAACACCGATACTGATATAGGCGATCAGGACACTTCCGGCGATGGTAGCGAAGCCGGAGCACATGACTTGGTGCAGCTCGGCCATGGTAAGGTGGGCGATGAAGGGACGGATCAGCATGGCTGATTCACCCTGGCCGATGAAGGGGGATGCGGCAGCGACAACGGCTTCGGCACCGGAAACGCGCATGCTCCAGAAGAAGAAGACGGCGAACTTGCCGATGAACCACTGTAGGATATTGTAGTAGTACAAGAGCTGGACGAAGGCGACGAAGAAGATGATGGCGGAGATAACGCTGACGATGAAGAACGACGCTGGTGCAAAGCCGTTGTTAAATTTGTAGAAGTCCTCGCTGGTCAAGAAGATGACTCCGTCGGCGGCAAAACCAAGCAGATCGGTGGCAAGGCCAGAGATGAAGTTGAAGATGTCGTATCCCGCAGTAGTGCGGAGCACGAACAGAGCAATAATGAATTGAGCCAGCATGCCGACAATGACAGTATGCCAGACGATCTTCTTGCGATTTCGAGATGTGAGCCATAGCCCGAAGATGAAGACAACCATCCCAAACAGACTGACTGCACGGTTGGCACGGGTGTTACCCTTTGATTCTTCGGACACGAACGAGCCAATAATAATCACACCAATGCATAGCGCGGCAGCACTGGGTGTTCTCAGCTTTTCGGGAATCATGCGCACGAAAGGTAGTGCGGTATGGTCCCAGACCCAGTGCATGGGCTTGGATATGATACTAATGGGAACGTAGAAGAAGATGATTCGTAGCGTGATGGCAAGATAGAGCAGGAATGGGATGAGCCATCCTATATCATGTCGATGTAGTATCAGGCCGGCAATCCACCAGCTAGAGAAGTGTGTATAAGCCTCGAGTTGAGTCCAGGGCATACAGCACCACTGTAATTGCAGTAAAATCAAAGTAGTTCATAGTTCACTTACCCGGTAAACAGAAGCCAGACCACAGCATGGGCCATATGTCTCCATTGTTTTCCCACGCGGCGATACCAGGTGCGCTTGGCTGGGAAATTCTCGCCGGCTTCCTCGTCGTTGGAGTTCTTGCTGCCGTGGTCCAGAGGTGTTTGTTCAGGCACGATGCCTTTCTCAAATTCTGCATCCTTAGAATATACCACTTCATCCTGACGTCCCTCTTCGGCGAAAGCAGTATGGTGTTGATGAGCATGGTGGTGCTGGTTCTCTGGCTCCAGCACAGGATCTACATGGTGCACAACCTGCGATCCCGCAGGATCGGCTTCCTGGGTTTTATCCATCACGATTTCACCGTCACAGACTTGAACGGCAAGAAGGTACGAAAGGTACAGGCGCCCGTGACAAAATTTACAATTAAGAGTGAAACCCAAAATATACCAAAACCAGACAAATTCAGACTGCCCGGGATTTGTTTCGGCGAGGAAACTTGGACCTTTATAATAAACGCGGACACGCCTGGGCAGGATTAATTCGGAATCTCCTGTTGGGATTTTCTTTTTTTCCCTTTTTTTTTTTTGCCTCGAATTTGGTGGTGTTTTTCTTAAAAAAAATTAATTTATTGCATATTATATTTTCTGGGGGATCAGAGATAAAGAACGCCCAGGGATTGGCACAGGGCACTAACCATCGGACCTTCTTCCTTTCTCATCCTATTTGGCTACAAGAATGCCAATGAACGGATTGACCGACGGTGTACAGCGGAGACGCCGTCTCGCCGAGAGCCAGCTAAAGCCACATGTAACCACATTGACGGCAAAGCTGATAAGACAGGGTAACATTATCTTGCCACACCAACCCCTGCCGTCTCCACTGATTGGTGGTGTGGTTCAGGCTAACTACTCTCAAGTCGAAAGTCTCTCCGCACCGGGTAGTTGTGGAGCAATATGGGTCGTGTGCTTAATTGCCCGAGGTCTTTCCGCCCAGCTCACTAGGGATACTTGAGATTTCCCCAGTTTCTTCAGGGGACCGTGATACCCGAGCGCTTAAGCAAGGGATTGGAGGAGGAATGTGAAAAGACATACGGAGTAGTACCATGTAAAATGTACTACACAATGTGTGTGATCTGCATTGTGGGTTGTTCTCGAGTCCCACCGATGTCTGAATTTGCCTCATAAGTTTTGGTTTAGCGCTAAAAAAGAAATGGAGACGGGTGCGAAAAAGTTCGATAAGCAGTACAGGTCCGAGAGACACACGTGTGGTCCTCAGAAATAATCTTCCATTTGCGAAAGATAGGCGCTTCAGGAGACACACCTTGGCATTTCTTGGCGATGGAAAAACTTGTCATCTAGAATACATTCAATGACCTTCGAGGGATTGATTTATGAGGCCATTCTTTGATTGTTATCTGGTCACTCGTGACCTCGGAAGCCCTCCGAGATTGACGGGCCGTGGATCCATGGAGGCATGCAGATAGTTACGTAATCGCACAGTTAGCCCAGACCCACAGAGCTAAGGTAGGATGCCAACCATGGAATGAGTTTGGCAAATCCACGGGTGGTCTGCTGCCGGCATAGATAACTCTATCCTCAGACAACCCACATACATGCAACGAGAAGACTAGGAATATTTCTGGAGAGCTATCTAAGCCACCTGCTCTAAACCCCCGCCGTTGAGCCCCAGGTACCACAACATTGGATGCTCTTTAGGCTTTAAGGTTTGTCAGAAACTGACACTGACCAGTGATCAGTGGCCGAACAACCTAAATCTAGCCAGTCACCTAAAAATCAAAGACCCGCTGACAATGCCTACACGGAATAAATGAGCATGATCACAGCGGACAAGTCTAGAAGCGACCCATTTGTGACTGCTATGTTCATTTTGGTACTTGGGCATCTAGGTAAAAAGCATCGTCTATACAGGTCGAGCTTTGACAGACTTACAGTTGCAAATACGCTCCCACCACTTAAAAAAAAAAAAGCATGCAGAATGCATTCGCCAATTGATTTTCGTATACT